AAACACAATAATGATATAAGCCAACAAAGCATAAGTGAAATCATAATAGAAAAAAATGACGAAAAACCTAAATCAAAACAATTCAAAGTAAGGAATTAAGAATTTAGGAAAAAACTGAATACCTAATGTTTGAAAAAAGTAAATCATTAGGATGTTCTTCCGTAACATTCAATGGTGGACGATTAGCATTCTTCGACCTCATGTTTTTGGATTTACGAAAATATTGAATTGAGAAATCTTTCATAAAAGAAGAAATACATAGGCGAAAATGAAGAAAAATAACTGAATAATGTAGAAATTGCAGAAGTGAAGAGAGAAAAGAGAGAAAATTAGTAGAAACTGCAGCGAAGAAGAAAAGAAAATGGAGTTGAAAATGGCGGTTTTTTTGGAATAAGAAAATGGAGTTGAAAATGGTGGAATAAGTGGAAAAATAAAATATGGGTTGACAATTGAGTTTAAACTTATATGGGCCTTTCTCAAAAAAAAAATAATAAAAAAAAAATAAAAATGAGCTGGCCAGGATTTTAACCCAACCGCACAAACTGTTAGATGCAGGCGGACGCACCCAATAGTTTGTGTTTACTAAATTTACTAGAAGCATAATACGAGTGAAAATTAGATAATACACCCGGGTGCACCATGCTCGTAGTGCACCCGGGTAAACAAAAAAAGGCGGAAAGAACATGTAGTGTTTGATAAAGAACATACCAATGTTTGACAAAGAACATACCTTTAATATGTTCTTTGAGTGTGATCAGTGTGTTCTTTGAGTAAAATTATATGTTCTTTACATTATAACTTATGTTATTTAACATATGTTGATAAACATATATGTTTTTTTGGGTTTAATAATACAAAGTATGTTCTTTGAATTTGGCGTGTATGTTCTTTAAGGTCGTAGTGATGCCCAAATTCTACTTTTATTATCATATGTCATATTTAAATTACTTTTATTATCGTATATTCTTTAAGTTTGATTAGTGTGTTATTTAGGTATTAACTATATGTACTTTACAATATAAATTATGTTCTTTTAACATATGGTAATTTGAAATTTGATATTGAAATCTTAAATTATTTTTAATTGAAAATAATATTAGAGTAAAAAAAATAAATTATTATGGAAAGTTGAATTTTTTTTGGAGAGATAGAAAACTACTTTTTGGGGAAATGATATCTTTGGTAAGGATTTTTTAAGAGGTGATCAACATTGGCATGACTCGCATCCCGACCCGATCCGGCCCGAAATAGGGTGGGATTGGGCAAACCTAAAAATGCATTTTTAGTTAAAACTCAAACCGGGTTAGATAAAGCCCGAAAACCCGCTACTTTACTACGGGTTTGGGCACGATAAATTATGATATAGCCCGGCCCTACTAGATTTTTTATCACCTCTAAATTTTTTCCGTTAATAATGTGTAATTTTTCAGAAAATTTAATTAAGTTTTAATCTCGTTCTTTTTATTATATCTTTATGTTCTTTGGTAATGCATGTTTTTGTCAAATACAAACATGTTCTTTATCAAATACATGTATGTTCTTTATGAAACACAAGATATTTTTTCCGCCTTTTTTTTATTTATCCGGGTGTATGATGAGCACTGTACACCCGTGTGTATAAACCACGGATTATAATACGAGTACAAGACAACTAAATACGTGTACAAAAAAAATTGAAAGATACTTCTGTCTCATAGTTTGAGTGTGTATGATATTGTCGTACAATAGAATATGTCCTTAATTACAAAACTGCCACTGGACTGGTGAAATGCCGGCGGCTTTTACTTGTACTTTAAAGTATATTTGTATTAGGGACGCGTTTGGGTAGAAGAGTTCATGATAATTGACTTGGAAAGAGTCGTCTTTTCCACTTCACACACAACAATACACAATTCACATCTCTTAGCCAAGTCTCATTTCGTGGTCCCCACGCTCCTTTCCATTGACCGACCTTAGCCATCAAGAATTGTCCACTTTCTAAATTACCCAAACGTGCTCCACCTTTCCACTCTTCTCTTAGCTCACTCTAACAACTCAACTTAAACTCTTCCACCCCTTCCTTTTTCATATTCCTTTTTTTTTTTATTTATAATTTTTTTAATTTTTTTTATTTTATTATTTTACTAAAATTAGGAAGAGTGTTCTAGTTAAAATCACTAAAAACTTTCCTACCACTTGTCACGCAACTTCTCCCAACCTCCCTCTCAACCTCCCTTTATATACATACACCCCTTTCACTCCTTCACTCAACCAAATTCACTCATTTCTCTTCATTCATTCCAAGTACAAAAACAAACCAAAACTTCTACAATTTCCATCGTTTTAAATCAATCTTCCCTTTTCTAAGCTCTACATAAATTTGAGATATGGCACTTGAAGCTCTTAACTCTCCTACTACACCACACGCCCCTTTCAAATTCGAGGAGCGCTCCTTTGATCACTGGGTCAAGAAGAAGCGTTCGAAGCGGTCTCGAAACGAGATGTCGCCGCCTTCCACCACCATCAACACCACAACCGCAATACCCGATTCCCGTCTATCCGAAGAAGAGTACCTCGCTTTTTGCCTCCTTATGCTTGCCAAAGGCGGCGCACCGCCTAAAACTGAAGTTCCAACTATAAGCGGCAGCAATACTAAATCACTTGTATATAAGTGTTCAGTATGTGGAAAATCTTTTGGGTCTTACCAAGCTTTGGGAGGGCATAAAGCTAGCCACAGGAAACCCGTTAGCGAAGACGAAAAGCCGTCAACCGCAGCCACCTCCTCCGCCACCACCACCACCATCTCCACTGCCAGTGGGAAGACACACGAGTGCTCGATTTGTCACAAGTGCTTTCCCACCGGACAAGCGTTGGGAGGTCACAAGCGGTGCCACTACGAGGGTAGTATTGGGAGTGGACCAACCAAGAGTGGAAGCAGGACGGCTAAGAGCGGAGTCACGGCCTCCGAAGGAGTCGGGTCTACTATCAGCGGCGGATCAGCGCAGCGGGACTTTGACCTGAACTTGCCCGCTTTGCCTGACTTTTTGTCCGTTGACTTTTTCAAAATGAGGGGGCAGAGTGTGTTTTCAAGGGATGAGGAGGTTGAAAGTCCTCACCCTTTGAAGAAGCCTCGCCTTGTGTTGACTGGGGCAGAGCAGTTTTGAAAAATGATTTTCTAACTGTGAAAATATTATTTGTACTTTGGTGTAGGATATTGGATTAATTAGTTCTTTGGCGTAGTCGAATTTATTTATTCTGATTGGGATTAAGTTTAGAAGACTTACAACTTTACAAGTATTTGGGGTATAAATTGGTGTTATTTTTCTCTGTTTCTGGTGTATATAATATATACTCCTATTAGTATATAATTCTGGCTAATGATTAAGCTAGTATTGTTGGGAATTGGGATGTAGATGTAGTCATGTAGATTACACTGTAACATTATGAATTCAGTTAATACAATTTGATTGATTCTTTAAATTTGTTATACGTTTTTTAAGCAACTATTTTTTATATGATTTAATCAAACATTCTACTTAGTTTTCAGTGTTGTGTGATCACTGATCACAGTGGTTGTATGGCCTAAGTTGTACACATTACTGATGCAACCACTAAATTTGGAGATTAAATAACTTTTTGACAGTTTGCAATGCTACAACCTTCAAATTTGGTAACAAGTCAGGTCATTGCAAACGTTTCAAGGTTATTTGACGCGGAAAAGAGTTTTAATATTTAGCGTATTTTTAGATTGCAAACGTTTTAAGGTTATCTATCGTATTTTTGGGTGTACTGAGCACTTTAATGTCATGCAAATCAATATTGACTTTGTTTCATAATAATATGATGTACTTGTAACTAAAACTCTTGTCGAATGGAGTAAAATTTTATATTTTTATTAGTATGAATTATCTTAATTGTTCGACAATCCTATTGGTAATATGGTGACTAGAAACCTGTGAATCTGTGATGTGTTGATGATAATAATGGGCCTGTCCACCAAGAATATAACTGTATTAATGCATTATGCTTTCTTAAGATACAATATGGCAATATGCCAATGTGAGATCTATAAAGCGCTAATGCTAATTTGGGACGGTGCAACATGGTAAAGTGATGAATAATTTAAGTCTTTTAGGTCCAATGATTGTCAAGTGTGTTTAGTTGCTCCCTATTGCAATATTTGCTAGAGATATATGGAAACACCTTGAAAATGGGTTTGGTCATGCTTGAATAGCACAACTGCACAACTCTACTTATCAATTCATTACAATTATTAATTTTAAGGGAAGGGGTAGTGACTCTTATATATAGTCCCTTTAGATTTTTAAAATTGTAGGATAGTCCGTCGTTGGCGATCTCATTTTCTCTATGCCTTTAATCCCTTAATAACTTTCATTAAATGATTAGAGATAATCTTAAATCCCATGGTGGGAGTTCGATTCCTCACCCAACCTCCAATCCTGTGATAAAGGGTGGGGAGCCCACCCCGTATCTTGCTGTAAAAACAATATATATATATATATATATATATATATATATATATATATATATATATATATATATATATATATATATATATATATATATATGTATAGACTACCCTCTAATCATTTCTCAAATATATATGATGATATTCTAAATTTTCAATGATAAACCTACAAGGCTCTTTCATTATTAAAGGTCAATTAAGTTTGAGAAAATACAAGTTTATCACTTTCATAAATAAATTTTGTTTACAAAATAGCAAGTGTTAATAAATCAATAAATTTTTATTAGGTTTAAAAAAAAAGAAATTAAAAGTATGGGCCCCACAATTGTTGACATAATTACGTAAATCCCATGCTAAATGGATATTTCTGCTGATGTGATAAATTGAGACTTTCTCAGACCGAACCTCAAACCTCACAGTTTTTTTAGTCCGGTATTTGCGGGTTAGACACTTTGAGAGTGAGGGGGAATACACCCTAATAAAGTTCAAGGTTAAAAGGTGTAATATTTCCCACTAGACCAAGCTTAGCTTGGTAAAAAAAGTCTTCAATATATCAGTTTGTATTACCAATAGGGGTGTACAAAAACTGGACCGGACCTGAACTGACCTGATCCGGACCGGACCTGACCCGGACCTGTTGATTCAGGTCCGGTCCCGGTCCTGAAAAATCAAGGTTCCCAGTTCCGGTCCGGACCCGGTCTAAACCCGGGGTTTTCAGGTCCGGACCTGAAACCCGGAAAAATTGTATTTTAAAAAAAAAAGAAAAAAAAAAATCAAAAATCAAATTAACGCTGCTTGCTGCTTTGCTTGAGTGACGAACTGACGATTCTGTTCTCTTTCATTTCTAACCCTAAGTCCCTAACGCTATCTCCAAGACTCCAATCTCCAAACTCCCTGACTGTCTATCAAATTAACGCTGCTTGCTGCTTTGCTTGAGTGACGAACTGACGATTCTGTTCTCTTTCATTTCTAACCCTAAGTCCCTAACGCTATCTCCAAGACTCCAATCTCCAAACTCCCTGACTGTCTCCCCCTCTCCCTCACTCTCACTATCTCTCAGCCAGTCAGCCCAACGCCCACCGCCGACAGTGACACCTCCCTGCCTTCCTCACTCTCTCAGGCGAAGCCCAGGCGCCCACCGCATGAGACAGCTGCCGCGCGATTCTCCATTTCTCCGGTAAGTTATTTTTTTTTAATGTAAATCTAAATTATCTAATTATGTTTGGGTATTTTGTATTCGAAATAATGAATTAAGTGTTAGAATTTATATGTTTATTCATGTTTCAATTGCTTATAATGATTGTTTGATGTTTGCATGTTGAATTTCTTTTTTTTAGTTCATTTGTTTCGAATTTATGTTTTTTTTTTTGGTTTTCTTGAGTTTAGGGTTTACGGTTTTAGGGTTTAGGGGTTAGAATTGATAAGAAGTATGGTTTATTTTCGAATTTTTTTCGAATTTATGTTTTTTTTTTGGTTTTTTTGAGTTTAGGGTTTAGGGTTTAGAATTGATAACAAGTATGGTTTGTCTTCGAATTTATGTTTTTTTTTTGGTTTTTTTGAGTTTAGGGTTCAGGTTTTAGAATTGATCACACTATCACAGATTCACAGCCTTTGAATCTCTGTTTAAGCCAAATTTAAATAAATAAATAAATAAATAAACGTAGTGCAAATTTAAATAAATAAATAAATAAACGTAGTGCATGATTAAATAAGTTGGCTAACTTGTATCAAAATTGATAAGACATGGTTGTATGCAGTTCAGAATTTAGATTTGAGTTGGCTAACTTGTTTAGAATTGATAAGACATAGTTGTATGCAGTTCAGGGATTCTTATTCTTGTTCTTATTCTTGCAGACTTGCCTAGGGCTAACAAGGGAGTGGAGGAACCACGGATTCTTATTCTTGCAATGTAAGTTGCTCTTAAATTTTTTTATAAAATGGTATGTGTATATAATTGTTACTTTAAAATTACTTATATTGTCTATAATTATATTGTAGATGGAGAGCTCTCAATCCAAACAGTTTGCTTCTTTTTCTGAACAAACGTCACAACCACTTTCTGAAAAGGATATGGAAGAATTGCAATCTACTTTTCCTCCTGATAAGAAGCTAAAAGCGGGGCGGGAGTATATATGGAACAGAAAAAGTAAGAGGAAAGCTGAGTATTGGAAATATTACTTAGAGAACGTCGAGAATGGAAAACTACGAGCTGAATGTAAGTTTTGTCCTAAAACTTTTGCTGCTGATGGTAATCTTAATGGTTCCAAAAATGTTAAAAATCATGCAGAATCATGTCTCGGTAATCCTATTAATATAGAAAAAGAAAAGGGCAAAGAAAAGCAAACTAAATTGTATTTTGATCAAGAACATGAGAGTGGTGAATTAAAGTGTGGGAGTAGGATTATTAACTTGAATGATGTTAGAGAGGCATTGGTTCACATGATTATTATTGATGAGTTACCATTTAAGCATGTGGAAAAACCCGGTTTTAGGCACTTTGTGCAAGTTGCATGTCCACAATTTCACATTCCATCTCGTGTTACCATTGCTCGTGATTGTTTAAAGTTGTATTATAGTGAAAAAGAGAAATTGAGAGAAATGTTTAAGACATGTCAAAAAAATTTTGTAACCACTGATACTTGGACTTCAATACAAAGAATTAATTATATGTGTCTTACAGCTCATTTCATTGATAATGACTGGAAATTAAATAAAAAGATCATAAATTTTTGTCCAATTTCTAGTCATAAAGGAGAGGCTATTGGAAAAGCAGTTGAGGCATGTTTACAGTATTGGGGTATTGATGATAAACTTTTTACTGTCACTGTTGATAATGCTTCTTCAAATGATGTTGCTTGTGCACACTTGAGTAGAATGGTTAGAAGAACAAGATGTATTAATGATGGAAAAAATCTTCATGTTAGATGCATTGCTCATATCATTAATTAAATTGTGTGGGATGGTATTAAAGAACATGGAGTGTGCATTGATAGAGTTAGAAATGCTGTGAAATATGTTAAGAATTCCCCTGCAAGAATACTTAGATTCAAAGATCTTGTGCAAAAAGCAAACATAGATTCAAAATCTTCTTTATGCTTTGATGTCCCCACTCGTTGGAACTCCACATACATAATGTTGGAAACGACTTTGAAGTTTCGACGTGTTTTTAGTGGGTTATCTCTTCCTGATGGAGAGGATTTGAATGACAATGAAAGGCCTCCCGAACCCGAAGATTGGGAAAAAGTGGAGAGGTTAGTTTTGTTTCTAGAGGGGTTTTATCTGTTGACTAAACGAATTTCTGGTTCCCATTATGTGACAGCTAATAAAGGTTTAGGAGAAATTGCTTCTATGTATGATATGTTGAATAATTGGGAACAAAGTGAGGACTTGAATTTTCAAGCTATGGCCATTGCAATAAAAAAAAAGTTTGATAAGTATTAGGGGGATGTGGATAAGATGAATAAATTCATTTATGTTGCTCTTCTTCTCGACCCTCACTCTAAGATGGTCATTGTTGAATTGACACTAATGGATATGCATGGACCGGAAAAGGGTACAAAACTTGCTAATGATGTGAAGGAGTTCGCTTACTCTTTATTTGAGGAATATAGAAAAATGTATGCTACTTCTAGTATTCCAGATTGTGGAGATAATATGTCAATGGATATTGATAATAGTAAAGGAGTGGGTTCCGATTATGTGAGGAAACTAAAAGAAAGAGCAAAACGATTGAAGGGGACAAGTGGGTATGCGATAAGTGAGTTGGATAGGTACTTAAATGATCAATTAGGGCCGGAGGAGGAAGAACAAGATGCATTGACATGGTGGGGGTAAGAATGGTCAGCGTTATGTGATTCTTAATCGCATGGCACGTGACATACTAGCCATCCCATTATCGACCGTTGCATCGGAATCTGCTTTTAGTACGGGAGGTCGTACTCTAGATCCATTTCGGAGTTCTTTAACTCCTAAGGTAATGCATCGTTATCTTTTTATTTTATAAAATCAAGTTTGCTTATATCTTAATATGACTTTGTTTATACATATTTGTGTAATATTTTTGTATTGAAGATGGTTCAAGCGCTACTTTGCACACAAGATTGGCTTAGAGCTAAGGAAGTGCCAATTGTTGATGTGGAAGAAAATTTGAAAGAGTTAGAGGAAATAGAGAAAGGTAGTAATAATTTTATGTACTTGAAATTTTGTTACACCAAATTTATTATTTCATTGTTATCAATCATTAATATATTCTATATTGTATTTTATTCAGAGGTGCAACATGGTGAATCTAACGATGTAGACAATGAAGTTGTTTTCATGGACTCATTAGTGTGAATCACGTGATCAAAGGGAAAACAACTCGTTGGAGAATTTATGTATTTCTAGTACTTGAGACTTTGAGAGTTGAGACTTAAGAGAATTTATGTAATGTTATGAGTTTTCGTGGACTTATTTGTTTTTTCGGTGGATTCAATTGTATTTTTGGTGTTTGAGAATCGGGACTTTATAGACTTTATTTAGTTTTGTGATTGATAATTTTGGTTTGTATGTAATTATTAAATTATGCAACAGGTTTAAAAATCACAAAACAGGTCCATATGTAGGTCCACGGTCCAAACAAGTCCGGACTTGTTAATTCAGGTTTGGTCCCTGGTCTTCATAATTACTCAATTTAGGTCCACGGTCCAAACAAGTCCGGTCCAGGTCCGGTCCGGTTTTGGATCGGTGTACACCCCTAATTACCAATGCTAAGGAAATCTACTCCATAGCCTTATACGCTTAATCAAATATTAGTTTAATCATGCAAAACCACTGAAATAAAATTTAATATCCGGATCTCAATTCAATCATAATTGGGTTCACCCAATACACCCTAACAAAGAATTTATTATAAATTAAAAAAATCAAGCAATTATAACAGAATATTAACTACTAACATGAAATTAAAATTATGAAATTGATCAGTGTCTTATGTATGGACAATATAGAAATTGAAAGCAAAATCATCTATTATAAGCATATGAAATTTAATCAAGCATGAACAAATTTAAAAAAAGAATTAAAGCATAAAAGAAGTAATTAAAGCAATAGAAAGAGAGGGAGTGAAAAATTGTTATGGATTAACAATACAGTAAATGTATGTAACCTTCAAATCATAATAACGTCATTTGTATATTTTTTTAATTTCAAGAATATTTTCAAGTTTACAAGAATAATATTTTCGAGTTTCTCTCTCTATAAAACTAGGCTAAATCCTATAATCAATTACATATTTGATGTAGAGCTGATCATGGATGGTAAAACCCGCTAGTCACGGCCTGCTCGGCCCACTTATAAACGGACTTGGGCAGCTAATTTTTCAAAAAAAGAAAATAAATTTGGGAGGGCTGATCCCGGCCTGCTAGCATTAACGGCGGTTATGGCAATCCTAAAATAATTTTGGGGCCAACCCACCCGGCCCGTTAAGACCCAAATCATTCTTTTACGGTATTGGTACTCTCAATCTGTACAGTTTGGTTTAGAATATTCTGTAGCAAAAAAAAAAAATACTACCGACTAGTATATAAAATATCATTACCAAATAACTTAAATAAAATATTAAAGGAAAAATTGGCCACAATAACACCAACTATTACAAAGTTGTTTGTAGCAGCACAACCTTTTAAGGATGCGGTCTACATCACAAACTATGTACTTGGGTGCACAAAACAACATGAATGACACCTGTTTCGGGTGTTTTTAGTCCCTCGGGAGAGTTACAATACAGAGTATGCGCGCCTGACTTCTGTACCTGCAAAACCACGAAACTCCGGTTGGGTGGAGTTCCGCCTCCGACGATCAAGTTAGTATGATTTACGGATGATTAAATGTGCGGAAGGTAAGTAGGTATTTCTCACTGATTCAGAGAGATTCCCCAATAAATATTGCTCGGGTTTTGTGTATGTATTTAGAATGCCCAATAAATGAGGAGGATTCCTCTATTTATAGTGGGGGAGACATGTTCCCTGATTAGGGTTTTGATGCCACGTGTCAGCATCCATTGGATCCCGTTGGGCCTCTGGTGGGCTGCCACGTGTCATGATTCTACTGGGCCATGTGGCATAGGGTATTTTGACCCTAAACATTTGCCCCTCACAAGTGTGACGTGGCGTAACCACGTGTCACCTGTGACAGGTGTCAAGCACAGGGGAGACGACGATTGAGTTGCTTCCTGCCTCTCTCTCCTGGATTCAAATTTTGAAAAGTTAAGGCAGAAGGTGGCGATTCGCCTTCTAGACTTTGCCTATAAATTGTGGCGTACCCCTCTCTCCTCTTCACTTTACAAATTTTTTCAGAAATTTCTTGAGAGCTCTAACACCGGCTGCTAATTTGTGCAACCAGTCGCTTCATTCAAACGCATACGGATACCGGTTGAGGACTTCACTTAATTCACCCAGGTACCGTCTGACTTGATTTTCTTTTTAGCTTGAGTAGAACCATAGACGGTCATACACCGTCTGGGACTCCATAAGCCCTTTTCATGCTTTGCATTTGGTAGACCCACAGACGGTGTGGACCGTCTGGGGAATCTTCAAATTATGATCCTCAAAGATAGACCCTCAAACGGTTGTGGACCGCCTAAGGTATCCTTGAACAATGGACTATCCACTGAATGCATACCATAGCCCCACAGACGGTGGAACACCGCCTGTGCATCTTTAGACTGGTTTTCATGGAGTTGCACTCAAAAGACCTACAAACGGTTACATGCCGTCTGGAGCATCTTCAAACCTTGTTCTTTAAATGATAGACCCATAGGCGGTTTGGACCGTCTGGGGTACCTTCAAACCTTGGCTTTTAATAATGCATTCCATAGGACCATAGGCGGTGATATACCGCCTGTGATATCTGAAATCAATGGTCTTCAAGAAGTTGCATTCAAAAGACCCACAGACGGGTATATGCCGTCTGGGGCATCTTCAGACTATTTTGCATCCAATAGACCCTCAACCGGAAAAATCCCGTCTGGGACATCTTCAAACAATTGCCTATAAAAAAACTCATTTCATAGGCCCTCAGACGGCAAGGAGCCGCCTGAGGTATCTTCAAACAAGATTCTTCAAATCCAGACCCACAGACGGTTTTGGACCGTCTGGGGTGTCTTCAGATAATTGCTCTTCGAAACTAGACCCACAGACGGTTTTAGACCGTCTGGGGTATATGCATGCTATGCTTCAAGACTTGGATCCTTCACACCCTTAACTGGGCTTATACCGCCTGGGGGGTGTTTGAGCAATGGTCTTCATAGCTTGCTCATGACCTGCTCTTCGAACACCCTCAGTCGGCTCTCATGCCGTCTGAGGGGTCTTTAAGCAACCCTCAACAATTAACTCTTGAGGCATCCTTGATTTCTGAAACCATTCAATGGAACCTCAGACGGTGATGTCCCGTCTGGGGCATTTCTGAATGATCTTCATAAATCTCGCATGGGGTATCATTGAATAAAACTTTGTGATACCGTTTGTGGTATATTTGAACAAGCTTCCTTGATACCGCCTGGGGTATCTTTGGGCAAGCTATTATGATACCGCTTGGGGTATCTTTGAGCAAGTGTATTTGATACCGCCTTGGGTATCTCTGGGTAAAACTTCGTGGTACTGTTTGTGGTATCTTTGAACACACTTCCTTGATACCGCCTGGGGCATCTTTGGGTGAATTTCTTCCCAAAATGCCTGACTGTTTGTATTTGTGCTTCAGGTTTAAAACACAAACGGACTTCTCCGCCTGTGGCATCTTCAAGCCACATCTTGGAATCTCAGCACTAAAGTCTTCTTCAACCATCTTCATAAATTCAAGGTATCATCCTTGCCCCTTTTGTAACCTCTTGAGTTTACCGGTTATATAGGTTAGAGAACAATGGACTCTCCCAATACACACACGGCACGGCCTAGGGCAGTTGTCAACCGGTCACCGGATACGGCTGAATCTAGGACTGGGGATGCCGTCTGGGGGGTGCATGGAACATCCTTACTTTTCTGCGAATCCGACCGTCTCTGTTCATGTGCAGGACATAATGGCTCGGACAAGGAAAACGACTGTTGACCCCGAGTATAAATTAGATGATTCAGCCGGTACACCGGTTGAAGACACTCCCTTTGATCAACCAGGCGTTCCAAGTACGCTTGGTGATGAGATTTTAGAAGAGTCCGTGAGCTCAAGCGGTGAAGAAACCGATCAGGAAGCCGGATCTTCAGAGTCCACCATGACACCGGATGTCCCACAAGAAAATGAGGAGGCATACAACTGGCCTTCAGTAAACAATCCATTGGAGGCGCACATGAGCGCTCGGGATGTTATGACATTAAACGCAACACTCCCAGCATTTTTGGAAAAGCGTTCGGTAGGGGACGGCTGGGAGTTGGGGGTCCCGCCTGCGAGCTCGTCAGTCGTCTGGGAGGATG